CAAAATATAAATTGACCAAAATACCCCTGAAATGTTTCGAGGGTATACATTTCAGGGGTATTTTGGTCAATTTATTTTTCACGAAATATTTTTTTGATATTTTTATTGAATTCTAATATTTTTAAAGAACACAAGTCCAAAATTTCGAGTGATTTGGATTTATTTAAAAAAAATTAAAATTAAAAAATAAAATACAATTGTGATCATTGGATGGGCCCAAATTGAATATGGTCCGTTGGACCTATATGTAGTTGTAGGCTAATTGGCCTACACCAGCATTTCCCACATATATATATATATATGGGAAATGTTGAGAAGAGCCCACTAGCTCATATGAGCCCAGTGGCCCAAATTGAATCTAGGCCAATCCGACAGTCACTACCTCATTTCGTGTTTGAATTTTAAATTTTTTTCTACAAATCCAAATAGTTGAAACTTTATGCGTGTATTCTTCAAAAATAGGATAATCTAATAAAAATATCAAAAAAATAATTTGCAAGAAATACATTGGACAAAATACCCCTAAAATCTTTTGGGGGTATTTTGGTCAATTTATGTTTTGCGAATTATTTTTTAAATATTTTTATTAGGTGTGCTTTTATGAGAAGAATTGACCCTAAAATTTCAAGTTATTTAGAAAAAAATTAAAATTTAAACACGAAATGAAGTTGTGTCGGTCAAATCGGCCCAGATTCAATCTGGACCGTTGGGCTCATATATTCATATGAGCTAGTGGGCTAATCTCAGCATTTTTCATATATATATATATATATATATATATATTAGTATGTGATTGTTGTTTACCAATGAGGCTGATGGGCAAGTTCTATAGGACAACGGTAAGACCAGCTTTGCTCTATAGGGCGGAATGTTGGGCAGGTATTAAACAATATACCCATAGAATTAGTGCAGCGGAGATGAGGATGTTGAGATGGATAAGTGACAAGACAACAAGGGATAGAATTCGAAATGAATCCATTCGAGAGAATTTACGTGATAAAATGTGAGAGAGTAGACCTAAGTGTGGCGCCGACCAAGTACAACACCTGTTAGGAGGTGCAAATTAGTTCAAGTGGAAGGATTGGAAAGTGCAAGGGGTAAGGGCGTGGTTCGAAGTAGTCTGAAAAGATATGAAGATTTACGGTCTCCCTAAGGATATGGCCTTTAATAGAACAAAATGGAGAACCATGATTCATGTAGCTGACCCCAATTAATTGGGAAAAGGCTAAAATGATGATAATGATAATGAGGATATTATTTTATTTTTTTCAGATCATTTGGACCTTTTATGTTGGTTTTGGTTTGATTTAATTATTTTATTTTTAACAATTTCTTTCTATTTTTTTATTTTTCAGGACTTTTTGGCCTTGTACAATCACACGAGTCCGAGTCCGAGACCGAGGCCCAAGATATTGATTTAAATGAATGCATCCATGGCCGCGTAATCAAGCAAGACTGAGAGAAAGGCATGTCTTATTGTTATGTCCAGTGCCAAAGCTGACCATAGCCAAAGGCAACTAGCCTGAATACGTATTGTATTAAAATCATCTAATACCATGTTGATTGTGACACTCGTGTCATTTATGAACTGATTTAATAAGTTATCAAACTCATTACTACTAATTTAAGAGCATTGTTCTCATATTGGTTGAAGGTGCCCCTCTGGTTCAGAAGACCAGACTCACCAAAGTTAGGCTACCAATTAGCTGTAAACTAATGACATTTGATGGCATAATCTAATTAAAAAAAAAACAAATTCTACTGAATTTCCCACGGTAATAGCGTATAAAAATGCTAAAGTAAAGTGGATGATAAAATTTCATATCAATGACATATATCACTACCTGGAACTTTACCCCAGCCAGAGGTCCATAACATTGCAATGCATTGAAATCTTTAGACGAAACTGTGATAACAAGTGCTGCATTCGCCCATTTAGATGCACGTTTGGAAAATGACATGCCATTAATGCAAATCTCTGATGGATCAGTGCTAGTAAGAACTACCTGCAGGTACATATTTCACCAAGAAACCCACTTAATGTTTCATTCCTGATAGCTTTTTTAAGATGGAGAGGGAAATCATATAGAACTATACCTGCCCACCAGGACACATGCAGAAGGAATAACAACTTCGATTTGCTTCCCTTTGATTCTTGGCGGTTCCACTATTCTCTTCACTTACATACTTTACCACCTTGTAGTCGGCAACAGGCACTTTTCCACGCCCATCTAGAACTTGGTTAGACAACTCAGAGTACTGCAAAGCATCCAATTCATAAAATCTGAAAATGTTTTCTACCATAGACTATAAAAGATTTTTTAGTGTTCACCACAATATCTTATAAATGTAGATGCTTAGCCAATGATTGTTAGCTATCACAAAGGGGGAAAAAAGGTCTTTTGCAGTTTACGTGTCTGGAAGAAGTACTCTCCAGCCTGTCTCCAGAGCACAGGGCCAGAAAAGAGAAATCCTCCAAATAATACAACACATTTCATTGTAATAGTCTACCACATAACTCTTACAGCCTTATATGTATTTAAGCTTTTAGGGAAAATAGATTAAAGGCATAGACAAGCTGTCTGATGAGGGCACGAAATTGGATTTCATTGAAGACCGCCCTAGCTGAGCAAATCTACATGCCTTTTGAAGTATCCTTACTTCAAGTCTTACTTCAAAGTTCTGGTGCTTATATTTGCAGCAGACTTAGATCATCTATGGGTAATACTTTCCCATGGTTATCTGCACTCAAATAAAAAGCATCAGATGTTTTTCATTCTCAGTAAAGTTGCTCACATTACATACAACACCCAAAGTGAGTGAGTGACAAATGCTCAGTAGTATCAATGAGACACCGACCAAACTTTTTTAAAATCTTACAGTTAAAGAAGAAGACAGGCCAATTAAAATCAAACTGAGTTTTTAGAATTTCACCAACATGAATTGGGGGAACTCTCGATCAAAGAGAAGAAAAAAATTGCAAATAATGATAAAAGTTTGTTAATAATAATAATAATAATAATAATAACAATAATAGGATCCATCAGATTTTTTAGTTTTTCTTTTTTCAATTGGTGCATCAAGAGTTGCATCTGACGATGCTGAAGCACACATAAAGCTTAATTTGCAAATGTCGTATCAGAACCAACCTAACTTGACAAGCTAGAGAAAGATAATACCTGTATGTTGTTTATAAGTTCCTGAGGATGCTCAATTCGTAAACCAATCTGTTCATGCAAGTTTGTATTATGTATCAGGAAAAGGAGTAAATTTGTAGGAAACACAGCGACCACTATTTAAGGTAAAAAGAGAAATAAGAGGTAAAAAATGACCACTCCACAATGGTCAGAAAAGTTTTGCCACAATCTCCAGACTTAAGGAAGGTGTGACACATAACAAACAGTAAATCTCCACACACAAGAAAAAAAAAATTGCCATTCAATAGAACAGGCATTACTACATACTATTCTAAGAGAACATATGCATTCATTTATTCCCGTATTACTACATACTATTCTAAGAGAACATATGCGTTCATTTATTCCCATAAGTAAGGTCCATTTTAGTCAAATAGCAAAACTAAGAATTCCATCTTCATGCATCAAAGCCCAGGAGGTGCTTCTTCAAAGTCCATACTAAACTATACAAAGCTTATACAGGATACACACACACACATACTATATATATAGATATAATTTCATACATCCTAATACCAAACAGCCTTATTTTTTGTGATTACAAATTTAGCTTGTGTAAGATGGAGGATACATTTTGTATTTAAATTTCAAACAAACTAGTCCCTTAATTATCAGATGTTACTTCCTATTATGCCAGTTTTCTGCAAGGTCCAAAAATCTATGATGACCAACCTTATTAGGCAGAACCATTCACTGTTATGTAACACAACTGCCCATAAAATAATCTGAAATGGAAAAACAATTACTTTTTTTTTACGTGGACGATACAGAGGGTGTTATTTCAAACATAATCAATATTACTGCATTATATGGATATAGCATTACAGTGGATGTTCGAAGCCGCTTCAGGTATAAGGTCAATACGCATGAAACAAAATTAGTGGGGATCTTTCTCTTAAATAGCTACGAGAGCTAGCTATCTATGTTGGATGTGGAACTGATAAACTGCAAAATAAATACTTCAGGTTTTTGCGCCTGTCTAGTGGAAAACTAGCAAAGGCAAGTTGGAGTGGAGTCACTGAGAGATTTGACAAGAAACTGGATATGTGGAAGACGAAGTATCTGTCCATGGGAGAAGACTAACCACTAACACTCATTATGTCAACACTGATGAATCTGCCAATCTATTACACGCCACTATTCACTGTGCCTACTGCAGTCGCCAACAACATTCAAACAATGATGTGACTCATGGGGTGCAACATTGAACAAAAGAAGGATGGGTCTTGCTAGATGGGATAAGGAATGTCTTCTAAAGAGAAAAGGGGGCTGGGGATCCCGAGAATTCATGAGACAAGCAACACACTATTGTCTAAAATGGTGCTGGAGGATGGGTACCCAAACAAATCATCTACAGCTACATGTGGTGGAGATTAAAGAGGATAAGGGTGAAGAAGTTTGGTTCATGAAAATGCAATCTAATAGGATTCTGTTTTATCGGGTGAATGGAATGGAATTAATAAATGTTGGAAGGCAGTTATGCAGAATATTAAAGTTCAGTTAGGGGATGGAGGAACGCAAGGTCCTAGTTGGACCCCTGGCTTGTAAAGCAATCTACTAAGGAGGAGGACCCCAGCCCCTGCACAATTGACTCAGATCCATATGCAAAAGTGCAAGAAGTGGTATAAGGTTTCAGGCATCAGACTACAAGGACACATGTAATAGGAGGATGAGGTGGAGCTACCGCTTAGTATGCTTGCAAACCTGCAACCATTCTTCTTTGATCCCAAGAAAAAGGACTACCTTCTTTGGATGCCTGACAGCAAGGGGGTTTTTTCTGTAAAATCTATGCACAAAGCACTTAATCGAAGTTCAGAAGCATATGCCAACAAGGAATGGCACATTCTGCCCCTCCAAACACACAATGGCTCGCTTGGCTAGCCACAGTTGATAACCGTTATTCCTAATATATGAGTAACGTGAAAACAGAGGCGTGAAACAGTAGACATTTTCCTACAATATCCAGCAAGGACCTCTGTAGGGTCCTATTTTCTAGACTTGTTGGGCCTGAGTTTGGCCACTCCTGCCTCAGTCAAGGCATTATTGCAGCAGTTCTTTCCACCACCATTTCCTAAAGCATGCGTCAGTTATTCTTTGGAGGCTGACTTGCACTAATATAGCTCACATGGATAGATTGCAATGGTAGATGCTTCGAGGATTGCAAGAAATAAGAGGTTGGAAGAAGGGAACAAGTCAAGGGAATGGTCACAGAATGGACGAAGACTAAACCACAATTTTAGAGATATAAAACAAACGATTTTGAGAACAGATAAGTGGAAATTGTGAATGGGAAATAAGAGAGAAGGAAGTCTGATAACTGGCTGCTGCTGCCACCCAATTGGTTGATTATGCTAAATTTTCATGGAAGTTCGAAAGGCAACCCCAGGGATGCCATCATTTGAGGGGTAGTGAGACATGACCAGGGTAGAACACTACCAACCTACACAGGGTCATTGCACGGTGCAACCAAAGGCTTAGTCCCCATCATTGAGTCTTATAAATTTGACCACTAGGTGTAGTTGAGTCAATTGCAAAAGCAATTCTGCCTTTGTGATTGATGGGGTTAATGTAAAGGACAAAAGGATAAATTCACTTCGAGACTAATAAATATATTCATTATTCAAGGACACTGATGATCTTATAAGTAGCAGAGGACTGCAACACATTTCGAGGAAGTCTGACGAGTTAACAGACTCTTCCATAAAAGCAGGAGTTTCAAAATCTTATTAGCGACCAATTTTTCAATGGAAACATAGAGGGAACAGATCTAGATTGAGATGAGGTGTATGCTCATTATGGATTAGGGGTGATGTGAATTTTGTACATAAATAGCTTCCTGGCTTGAATTTTTATGAATAAATTTTTTAGCGTACATGACATACAAATGTAAAAACATTTTTAAAATCAATGAAATCTAGTTTATGTCCACACAGAAAAAAAAAGCCATTTATAATTTCATTTATTAAATATTAGTTTAATACATCTTTATGATGCCACAACGAAAATGTATCCTCCAACAGATCACACTCTATATTTCCTTAAAACATAAGCAGTAATTACTTAGGATATCAATCCAACCAAAGATAGGAGAGAAGAAAATATTCTTAAGTGAGACTCACAGCAAAGTCTTTTTGGGTCAATTGTACATCATGTTGGAGAAGCATCTGATAAACATCACGTGCTGAATGCCCAACTGCAAGAATGACAGCATCATAGGCCAACTTCTGAGTGCCAACTTCTGAGTCAGCTTTTGCACTAGAAATTTTGACCCCTACAACCTGGTTGTTCTCTACAACTAGATCATCCAGCCTAGTGCCAAACATGATATTGACCTGTAAATTGAAGTTCAATCAATAAGATATTCTCAAATAAGGATATCATTACTTGTAAAATACAAGTAGTTTCTTCTTGGGAAAGTCTTGAACTTATGTGACCTATGTTAGTACATGCTTCAAAACAATGAATTCCCATTATCTATCAAAAAAAAGATATACTTGAATAAATGAAATTACGAATCTCAAAAGAGATAAATGTGGGGCACTCCACTATTAACCAAGGAGAAGCTAAGCAAAAAGGAAAATATCTTGTTTATTTTATTCTCTTTTTTTTAAATACACTAAATAATTATATTATATAAAATGGATGATCTGACATGTTTCAGCAGTTAGAGAGGAGAAAAAGAAAAAAGGAAAAAAAAAAAAATAGGGGATTCTCAATAAGTGTTTGATTTTCAGAATAATAGGGATATAAAAAAGAAAACGGTTGCAACCTACACCCAGTGATTGCAAGTGCTGCCGAAAGTTGCGCAGCAATGGAACTAGCCTGTCAGTCCCCAGATGAGGTTTTCCATCAATTAGGATATTTGCTGGAGCACCAAATTGAACCAGAGTTTTCAGAACCTATCAGAGCATAGTTGACATAGCATTTAGAAAGAGCAATACACTATGTAATCATAAATATCATGAGAAAAAGAAAGAGAATGAGAAAGACAACATGTATTTGAAGTAAAACATAAATAGCGTTCAGTTATATCTTTTTAGATAATGCAACATAACAGTAACAATGATTGAAGAATGTATTTGAAAAAAGACTGTAAAGTATTCAACCAATTGGTGCTCTTTTTTTTTAATACATAAAATTCTGTTCATCTTTAAAATGAGGTGACGAAGGATCTGTTGTTAGCAAAACGTGACAGATAATGTATGCAGACAACTGCTAGTTAACCATGAAACTCAACAGACAAACGGAGGACGGGTACACCTCTAGAAAGATATTTAAGAAAAAAATAAAAAATTTAGGCAAGAAACGACTTACAAAAAGTTAAGCAACTATCATTCCAGGAACTCTTGTTAGTCGGCTACGATACAAAGAATAACACGTTCCATGAGAATATCTGAATACTACATGCATATCACTCAAGGGCCAATAACCAGCAAGTTGAAGACCATTCAGAAAGGCAGAAGCTGAAGCTGACTTATTGTCACAAATAAAATTATAACATACGACATCACTCAATAGTGCATTTGATGGCAAGTTGCAGGTTCCTAATGGAACTTGTTTATTACACGCTGGGGACTGCAAAAGATATTTAATGGATAGAAGAAAATGAGAGAGACTAAAGAATGCATTCCCCAGCATGTCGCAGATAGTCATATTTATAGGAAAATCCCATTTTATTTTTGAAATTTAAAAATAGTCTCCTACATTCCAAATTTTACACGAAGTCCCACATTTCGATAACATATAGTGTATCTTAGTTTTATCCTTTTACACAGATTAAACTCAAATTTGAGATGTTCATAGTTCTCACCATGATGCACCTGTAAAAAGTATATAAAAAAATACTTCAACAATAAAAATGACAAAATTACCCCTACAAGGTTCATAGGTTTTTTGGCTATTTTAATTTTTTTAAATTCTTTTTTAAAAATTTTTACAAGTGCGTAATAGTGAGAAGTTGCAAGCCCATAATTTGAGCTCAATCTGATACACATAAGAAAAATTGAAATTAAAATAGCCTATATGCTATCCAAAAGTAGGACATGAATTTAAAATATAAAAGATGTGGGACTATTTTAAATTTCTAAAATAAAATGGGATTTTTCTGTAAATTCCGCAATTAGTTATTAAAAGAACTTTCAGATTACAACCGTAAAAATGGGAAACATATCAAATGGTAAAGGGCAATGGCATAAAGAATATCAGTAATGCCTGATGATTAAAGAGAAATTAAACAAATTGAACCTTTATACAACATACATACATGGCTGATGTCAATACTTGATGACACTACTTCAGGATGAATATGAAAACTTATCATGGTTATTTCTCAAAAAATATTCTTACAGCCTGGACACTGTCACTATTCCTTCCAATTCGAGTTACCAACTTCCCATCGCTCCAAGTACCTGCACCACCCTGCCACACATAAGTCCTTAACTGGATGATTTTCAGTAGTAACAACATGCATCAGAAAGATTTTTGACAATTGCACCAATATCATATGAAAAGCCTAAGAAGCATTGGAAAGGAAGAGAAAATAATCACAAATTACAATAAAAGCAAAAGACCAAGGGTACTACATTCATTACAACCAATGCACAGAACTACTATCAACAAAAGTTAAAATATCTATTGTTCAGTGTACAGGTGATGTAGCTCCAACGAATTACAAGCAGCAAATTGTAGCTTAGAAGCCTGAAGCAGAAGAAAGAACAGCAGGGAAGCAGCAGCTTTAGTAAGAGGCCAACTTTTTATGCAGATATAATGTGTGTGTAGGAGACACAAACACACACACACAAGCCTGCACGCACATACACACGCACACATGCACACATGGGTTATTCTAGAATAGACTGCACTAATGGGGACTTAAAATTTGCTACTCTGAATATCTGACCATGAAATGCCCTTATGTATTCAAAAATGACTTTTGACTATAAATAGTTCATAGTTCATTATTTTAAGAAGCTTATGTTTGTCTTTTAAATCCCCTCAAAATTTCTAATTAAAAAAGATTCCTTTGACTTTTTGAATGATAAGTAGATCTTTAAAACAATTTAAAATTACAAATATGACCTTCTGAAAATTTTCAAACAAGCTGTTGTTAATGTAATTTTTATATTTGTAAATGCATTTTGTTTTCAAAATTTTTGAAAACCAAGACAAAAAGTCACCATACATATAAATATAAATATACATATATATATATATATATATATATATATATATGTGTGTGTGTGTGTGTGTGTGTGTGTGTGTGTGTGCGTAGTGTATGTGTATGTGTATGTGTGTGTGTGTGTGTGTGTGTGTGTGTGTGTGTGTGTGTGTGTGTGTGTGTGTATAGAGAGAGAGAGGATTACCATGTATCATATGTAGCCACATATATTTATGCTATGATACGAACTCAACGACGAGGAAGACATTGTTGGAAGACAAGAGAACCATGAATAAATGATTTAAGAAAGATTCATTTGAAACTCTAACACTGCCAACTTGGGGATCATCATATCGGCAATTCATCACCTACCTTAATTTTTTTTTGTTTATGGCCATTCTAACTGAGAACAACCCTTTGAAGAAGCAAAGTATCTACACTACAGATTTACATGATAATATAGAAATCTGTTTCAATGTTCTACCTGTATCATGCTGTTCACTTATATAAACAATGGATTATTTATACACTATAAATTGCTATGACAATATAGAAATCCGTTTCAATTCTCAATCTGCATCATAGTGTTCATTTAATTAAACAGCGGACTTGTTTCCAATCCATTGCCTATCAATAGGAACACTATCAGCTTTGCGATGACTATTCATGCTGTACTTGACCATTTTTTACTAGATAGAAGTTTGAAACAAATTTTAATTTTCAAGATATTTTGCAATGTGGTTGTGAACGAACTTAAGCAACTAACAAGTGAAGATACCTCATTTTAGGAGTAGTAAAGACTACATTCCTGGACAGTTTACCCAAGAAACAAGAAAATCATCATAGGTAAATTTCATATTTATGAAAGGAAATCCAGTGATACAAAAGAGCCAACCAAAGGGCAAAGGCTGGAGCAAGAGGTGATGCATTTAACTGATGGTAACAACCACAAGCAAATCAAACTCCTTGAAATGGCGATAGAAATCATCCTTCCCACAAATATTAATTGTAAGAAAGAGTGTTTTATCCATGTGGAAAAAGATTTTGTACTCCTGAGTGCACCAAGCACATCAAGTGAATTTCCAAAACACCAGGTGAAAAGAAGTAACCAGAACCAATGTCTTCCAGTCATAACTAAATTTCAAGACACAAATATTGTTGACAAAACCCTTGGAAAATGCTTTTATATGCAACCCCATTGGAAAGATTGGCATGAGTAATAACAATAGATCCGCATTGAACTGAGTACTTAAGGGGAAATTATGTCTCTTTCTTCCATGGTATGCCACTATGACCCCTCAGGTAATGCAAAGTCATACAGGAAATTCACACAATGAATCATTGCTTCCAGAGGTTCCATAGGATGTTCATGAATGAGTAGATGCAAGCATATGTTTTCAATGCATACTATCTTGATAAATAAGCTAATAAATAAAAGAGAAGCCATCTCAGAGATTAATCAAGAACACAAATAACTTAACAATTACAGATAGGTTATCCTTTTCTATAGACAAACACTTTCAAACATTTCAAAAGAAAGGTGCTTGAAATCCAAAAACGACAAAAGCAGACAAGTTTATCAATATTGATCATATCAAATACAGGAGCATAAAATAACTCTTACGAGCAATACAACATGCCAGATATTCCTAATAAAAAGAAGAAAAATCAAATCACCAGATGATCACATATTCATCAAATAATACTTAATTATAGTTATCAAAGGTACATAATATGGTGCCGAATGGAGTGCCTCTGTTCTATGAAATGCATCTCAAAATCCACATTAAGAATATGTCAAACATAAAAAGTATATAAATTTGTACAGTTGATTGGAAGGTACCAAGCCATGACAGAATGAACATAAAGAATGCAAAAAAATAACTATGGTCAGATTTGAGACAAACCTCTCCAAAGCAGAAGTTGCTTTCTGACTGTAAAATACGGCGAACCACCAAAGCCCCGATGTCTCTTCCTCTCTTCTCAACTGCCTCACCCCTTTCTATTAAGGTAACCTCAGCACCAAGTTCTGCCAGTACAAGAGAAGCAAATAAACCTGAAGGCCCGCTGCCAACAACTGCAATTTTGGGCTTTTTCAGGCTTGGTAACGTAATAGATTGCTGGGACATAATGCCATTTCCTTTTCCATCAGATATCTTTTCATTATCAGTTTGCTTACGTTGTTTTATGACACTGATCAGGTCACCAGAAACCTTTTCACTAGATATATGCTCCACAATTCCAACTTTTGGCTCCAAACGAGAAACAAAATCCCAAGCTCGAGGCTGCAAACTCAGAAGTTTCTCAACATCCATATCCACAGTGTACATAAACTTTGGCTCTTTCACGACCTGCATTAAAAAAATAACTTAATAATTATTAGAGAGTCAATTACTCAAATACCAGGAACAGAGGTACCACTATGTGTCAATTGTGAATGATGGGTGAGATAGAAATTCTTTTCTGTCTTCCTTGTTTTAGAATTGGAGGATTGTACACGGTGAGTATCATCATGGAGCAAGACCATTATCTTTAATCATGGTTCTTGACTATCATTTTGAAATTTTCTGAGAGGTTGGCTCAGGAAAGCTTCAGTTTTATCCCATTATGAACTCCCATACATTCATACAAAGAAGATATAGCCAAAATCAAATACAAATTAATCAGAATAAGGAAAGTCAGCAATTCATAAAGGCAAAAAAGGATGTCGTTGAAACTTTTATATCAATTAATATGATTTGCGTAGCAGAAATACCTTTCTCGCATCAAAGGACTTCCGAACAATGGTGAATGCTTCATGGGGCAACATAGCAGCAACCTGCGAGTGAAAACACAACTAAATATTAGTTCAAATTTTGCAAGTAATGAGCACAATCATGATTCCAAACAAATAAAATAAATACATAAATGCAGTCAATACTATTAGAAATTATCTAGAAAGATCCAGAAAATATATTTGATTGTATTGTAATCTCTTCATATTTGTAAAGATGGATGTAACATAATCCTTGATTGACTCAATCAAGGATTCTTACCAAATATGTATAATATTATATATAGAACCGACAACCCTCATTACGAGTGTGGTGAGTTCTTCTCTCTCTCAGGGTCCCACCAGTGAAAGAAAAAGGCCCAAATCACTCATGGCTCTTCCTCCAAGTAAGTCTCTCCCTTTCTCTACAAGTTTTGCACCTAGAGACCCTTCTCTCTCTAAAAGCTTCTCTACCAAAAAACTATTTCCTTCACCCAAGTCTCTCCAACCCATATTTGTTTACCTTTTCTACCTTTTACCAAGACAAAGTCACCATCTCAACTCCACCTTTTTTATCCAAAAAGGAAAATATCTCTCATACTATCTCTCTTTCTCTCTAAAGATCTCTTGCTCCAAAAAAAAAAGTACAAGACCACACTCTCTCTCTCTCCCTCTTCCAAGTGAAACCATTTCTCTCTATCAATTAAAACCCTAGGTATTCTCATAACACCATACAACAGCTACTCTCTCCTGCCCTCTATTTAACTGTGTCAATCACTTCTTGTCATTTTTTCATTTCTAAGAGCATATTTCTAAAGAAAAAAAAAACACAAATCTCTCGTTCCTCTCTTGGTCCTATCATCTAGTGACCACTACCCACTATTTTGTCTCTTCCTTGAGATTCAAAAAATTCTCAACCAGTTATTCTCTCTTTATTTCCTTTAATAATGTCTTCTTCTTTTCACTTTCCAAATCTTCTTCCTCAACTCATGACGGTCAAACTTTCCAATGAGAATTTTCTACTATGGAAAGGCCAAATTATTCCTATTGCCAAAGGTCAAGGAATCATGGGACATCTTGATGGCTCTATAGTAGAGCCCTCTAAATTTCTTCTCGCTAATGATAAATATGACACTCCTAACCCAGAACACGAGAAGTGGTACGCTTGTGATCAACTTGTCATCGCATGGATCAATCCTACATTATCAACTAAAATTCTTACCCAAGTGTTTCACATCTCTACCGCCAAAGACCTCTACCCTTCATGATTCTTATGTGCAACAATCAGAGGTGCGATTAATGCATCATCGCACTAAACTTCAAAATTGCATATGCGGGACACAATCTATATGAGATTATTTGAATAAGTTGAAATCCCTATTTGATAAATTGGCAATCATACAACATCTAGTTGATGACAAGGAAAAAGTTCATTATCTTTTACATGGGCTTCGTGAGGAATACAAAACGTTTGTTACTTCAGTTATGGCTCGACCACCCTTGCCATCATATACAGCTCTGTGCCCTTTCCTTCTTGAACATGAGTTGTTGTTCAACCTTTCACCTACAAGAAATAACACGCAACCACTACATTAAAACCCATGCATGAGGTCCTTTATGTATCCTCTCTAATACCGAAAGGAAAAGGTAGAAGACGAGACCATGGAAGAGGAAGAGGGCAAGGTTGTGGCAATCCTAGTGGTGCTCAAGGTGGTCAACCACCTATGCAAGTCAAGGCCCTGCACTTATACCAACACCACTAACACATTCCATGAATAGGATTGGTGCTTAATCCTGACAAATTTGTGGTCGCACAAACCATTTTGCACCTCAATGTTATCGGTACTCTCAACAAGACTCAAGACAACCCTAATGCTTTGACTCATTCTCTAGGGTCTATGTCACTCAACACCACACCTTTTGAGGCAAGTTGGATTGTGGACCCTGGAGCTCAAATCATGTGGTTGTTGATTCAGGTGTGCTTGTTGACGTTATTCCTTATAATGGTGGGTAATGGTTCCTAAGTTCCAAACACACATATTGGTACTGCCTCTGTTACGTCGTCCATAGGTTCCCTAAAAGTGCCTAATGTTTTTCTTGCTCCTAAATTTCAAAAAAATGTCATCTCCATATCTCAATTCATTGATCAATTCAATTGTTCCTTCTTATTTACACCTACTACTCTTTTGGTGAATGATCTTCGGTCCAGGAAGCTCCTAACTAAAGGCAAACAACGAGGAAATCTATATTTTCTTGAAAGTGATGAAGTCCATGCTTCGTTTGTTATTGCCTAACCTCTACAAGTAGTCCTAGTATCTCTACAAAACTATAGCATCATTGAATAGCTCATACCAACTATACTAAAGTTAACAACTTCAACAAACTCAAGGCCTTGCCCTCTTTATGTAATAAAGTGCCAACTAACATTGCCGTTAAAGGTTGTCAGCTAGAAAAATATCATCAATTACCTTTTTCTAATGCAAATAAATATGGTTCTCGCTTTCTTGAACTTATCCATATTGATTTATGAGGACCTTCTAATGTTGCCCCTCTCTCTCTGGTTCATGTTATTATATTAGTTTTGTTGATGATATCACTCGCTTTACATGGATATATTTTTTAAAATCTAAATCTAAAGCCTCTCTCTCTTTCTAGCTGCAGGGTCTCTCTCTTTTCTAGCTCACCTCTTGTATTTATGTTTTAAATAGGGTGTTATATAAACCCTCTCACCGTTTTTGCTGAGCCAACCCATTGTTGTCACAGTACTGGACTGTTTTTTTGCTTTCATGTAAAGGGATATGCCTGTCAGGGTTCTGGTAGCTCCCAATTTTTTGTAAGGGACGCTCCCAATACTGATATTTACTTCTTTCATTCTGCAATGAAACAGATAACTTTATCAAAAAAAAAAAACATCTAAATCTTAAGCCCTTCAAGTTCTTCAATCCTTCAAAGAATTCACTGAAAAATATTAACAACAACAAATTAAATTCCTTCATAGTGATAATGGTGGGTGAATTTTTCTCGTACCTTTCGATCTTTCTACACTTCTCATATATTAAACAACAATTTTTCCATCCACATACACTTGCCCAAAATGGTATGGTAGAGCAAAAACACAAACACATCAATGAACTAGGGTTGTCTTTAATATTTCATAGTGGGATACCTATAAAATTTTTAGAGTGAAGCATTTCACACACCTATATTTGTTATTGATTGATTACCAACCTCTGCCAATCCAAACAACATGTCCCATACCAAATGCTCACTGGACAAGTGCCCAATTATTCAATTTTAGGTGCTTTTGGTTACATATATTATGTTCATATTGATAAATCCTTAAGACATAAACTCTCAACAAATGCCAAAGAATGTGTGTTGGGTATTGTGACGAGCCTAAAGGATATCGATGCTACTCTCCTTCTACTGGGATAATACATGTTTCTCATCATGTGACTTTTGATGAGGGACGATTCTACAAAGGCGAAGAAAAGATTTGCAAGAGGGATGACCCACGACCTTTACCTTTTTTCAGAACATCGTCTACAGAGAACATGTCACCTATTAAATCTCAATCATTGCTACAGTGTCATTCAAATTCCTCGGTAGATGGAGCTGTTGATCAAGTACAGAGTGATGGTGAACATATTAATCCCTCCATAGAAAGTACTTCAAGTACTGCAATCCCTAGTAATCAGCCATGTCGGTCCTTTAGAGGTGTTTAGCAATGCAGATTCTTTCAAATAGAGGATTGAGCATCATATGGAGAACATTCCCCTGAACAATATTCATTTCTCACTAAACTCACCAAGCATACAAAACCAAATCCTACAAACAATCCATTAAAAATCCCAAGTGGATTGAGGCCATGAACAAGTAATTGATTGCTCTTCATCAAAACTACACTTGGGGTCTTATGCTTAGACCCAAAAATAAGAATGTTGTTGGATGTAGATGGGTCTACAAGATCAAGTATAAGGCCGATGACACTATTGAACGATACAAAGCAAGATTGATGGCTAAAGGTTACAATCAAAGTATAGGTTGGACAACGAGGAGACCTTCAGTCCAGTTGTAAACATGGGCACAGTCAGGCTAACACTGGCAATGGCAAATCTATATAGTTGGAGGTTACATCAATTGGATGTAAAAAACATTTTTTTGTATGGTGATATTTAAGAAGTTTATATGGAGCAACCACCAGGGTATGGAGAATCCAAAGAGTCTGATCTTGTGTGCTGACTAAGGAAGGCAATATATGGTCTTAAATAAGCTCCACGAGCATAGTTTGAAAGCTTCTGCAGAGCTCTTCTCACATGGGGGTATTCTCAAAGCGTTGAAGACAACGTCCTATTCATCAAAAGAAAGGACAAAAGCTTGTGATGGTGCTTCTTTATGTTGATGACATCATTGTAACAAGATATGATGAGGTTGAAACAATGCAGCTAAATATAATGCTCAGAACACAATTTGCGATGAAGGATCTTGGAAATTGGAAGTCAAGCGTAGCAGACAAGGCATGAAATTGACACAACACAAGCATGCATTAGATCTCTTAAGAAAATTTAGAATGAGTGACTGCAAGCGATCACCAACACCAATGATCACAACACATAATTATCTGTTGGAGATGGTGATCCTATTCAAGATCCAGAAAGGTGTAGAACTCTTGTTGGTGGTTAACAATACCTCACATTCACTCGACCAGATATCACATATGTTGTCAATCAAGTATGTTAATTTATACATGATTCTCGTGAGATGCATCTCAAAGTAGCAAAAAGGATTCTCTGATATGTGAAAAGTACCCTAAGTGATAGTCTTTTCTATCCTTTGGAGGAAGACATGTTAATCTCATTGCCTATTATAATGCTGATTGGGCTGGAGATCCAGCCATGAGAAGGTCAGTATCAAGATTTTGCATTTTTTTGGCCAGGTCTTTGGTGTCTTGGAGTAGTAAAAAGCAAAGGACTATCTCGCTAAAGCTCAGAAGCAGAATAATGCACAATGTCTTCCACTGCTGTCGAGATCACATGGTACCGTCACATTCTATCACAATTGGGTATCAATATTCAACATGCAATTCTTTGTTGTGATAATCAAAGTGGAATAAAGCTTGCCTTCAATCCAGTTCTTCATGCATGAACTAAGCACATTGAACCGGATTATCATTTCATTCGAGAAAAGGTTGAAAGCAGAGAGTTTATTCCTGATTATATTTTAACTACATAACAGCTAGCATCTTTACAAAACATAGTCCTACATTTCAAAATCGTTTGATAGCAAACAAATTGTCCATGTTTCACAATGGCAACAATTTGATGGGGAGTATTAGAAATGATCTACAAAGATCCAGAAAATATATTTGATTGTATTGTAATCTCTTCATATTTGTACAGATGGATGTCTCATAATACTTGATTGACTGAATCAAGGATTCTTATCAAATATGTAACATAATCCTTGATTGACTCAATAAGGATTCTTACCAAATATGTATGCATACAAATCTATTATAAATAGAACTCACAACCGTCATTATGAGTGTGGTAAGTTTTACACAAATCATTCCCTCTAAATTTCTTCAAATACACGCTTTGAGTTTAAACACAACCAATGCATGGTTTTTTTTTTGACAAAGAAATCACAATTTTCTACAAAAAAACATGAAGACAAAAGGAAAAGCTAATCATGGCCACCACCACCACCAATAAATAGAGGAAGCTGCTGAATGTTTCAACTCATTAAGGGGTTATCTTGAGAGAGAGAGAGAGAGAGAGAGAGAGAGAGAGAGAC